AACCTGAACCAAAGCTCTGCTGCTCTTTAGCCTGCAGATTTCTGTAGGAATCATTCTCTGTTAAGCTAAATGGTACCAGAACTTGTTTCACTGAATGCTTTAGGATTCAGTAACATCCTAACCAGTATCTCTGTGTCAGCTGACCAGCCGTCTGTGGGTCCATCCTGCCTCTGAGGTAAAGTCACCAACCCGCCAGGTTAACTCGTACCTCAACTAGGCGCTAACTATCTCAGCATAAATTGGCATCTATAGCCCCATTTCCACTATCATTTTAAAACCGCTCCAACATGGTACTAGTTCTTCAGTAGGGCTCGGCGCAGTTCAGTTCTGACTCGGTTCTCAGATAACACAGAGCGCATGAGCAGACCACGTTATCTCCTTACAGACAGCCTCCGTAATCATGAAGCTTCAGACATTCATATAATAGCTTCCATAAAGTGCCACATGTTACAGGCACCGCCATGTTGGTTTGTTTGTTTACCTCTAGAGAGCAGTAGTACCGTAGATCACCACTAGGAGGCGAGGAACCGTGCTAGCGTGGTTTGTAAATGGTCTTTAGGAACCGAGCTCGGCACGGTCAACCGATCCAAATTCGCCACGGATTGGTTTTCAGAGTGTAGTGGAAATGGGGCTTAAGTCTGAGCAAAAATGGAGATAAATGATCAGCCTATCCGTTTCTGTCTGAGGCTTCCCTGGAGTCTGCAGTTCTGATTGACTGTTGGATGCTCCAGTAACTGCCGGAATGCACCATTACTTCTGCTTCTTGTTGATTACATGCATCAAACTCCTGCAGTTGAATCATAATAAAACCCAAAAACAATCCGTTTTTTTTCTCTTGAGTTCTTCAGAAAGCCAATAAAAGAAAATCGGGCCCGTTTCTTCCACCTGCCAACTGGAAGCTCTATCAGTTCTGGCTCCCACGCTATGCTAATGATGGTGGATGGAGCTGCCATTGGACAGCATGCTACAGTGATTTATTTACAAATAAGCAAGAACAGATGAAGGAGAGCTGCTAACTGTTCCCAAAGCCACCAACAGGCTCTTATCTGTGCACCCTACCTCTGTTTGAGTTTCTAATCTAATAAGAAGTCCTGGCATATCGTTTCAGACACAAATGTTGCACAAACTTTTAGCAGACTGATCGTATGAGTGCAGCCAAATGATCAGCAGAGACGAAGCTGAATGCATTAAAAGGTTAAGAAACCAACTTCAAATGTCAGATGATGTTTAAAAACAGCATTAAAGAGATCTGATTTCATTTTAAATGAAATAACTATTCTGCCTTTAGTCCTCTACAGTATTTACTGATTCGTGATAATAAGGGCAGCCTCTGATGAAGGTAGACTTGAAAAGTGCAGCTTTGGTTTGGCCTTGAAGCAAACGCTGGTCACAGCGTTCATAGAGATCAATCCACTAATCTTTTCAGCTGTGGTTATCAAATCTAGGCCGGCTAGCCCGAAGCAACCGCCGCTTAACTTCATAAAAAACAAGTTCAAAACAACATTACCTTCAGGGGGAAAGGAGGTGTGAAGGAGCTACCGTTCAGGACATCATTTATTAACTAGAGTCGGTGAATGAGAAGCAGCAGGAAGCAGATGGCTGAACCTCTTTGGCTCGACTTAAAAGAAAAAACAAAACTGAAAATAATTTCAAGAATCCTTCAGAATGAAACACCCTGACAAGAATAGCCTGTCCGTCTGAAACCAGCTCTTCTGCCAGGTCCACTGCTAATAATGATCAGAAAATAATAACAGTCATGTTAGGGATCAGATTTACCCAGACTGTAACAAATTCTGATAAAGTCCAAATCAGGCAGTACTGTCGCCATCATTAGTCCTGCTCTTTTTTTTCCTCCACAACAATACAAATTTCATCATAAGCACGTTTTCTTTCAGTATTAGATGGTAGAGGAGCAGAAATGATGATGCAGCCCCATATCATCACACTACCACCTCCTATTGTTAGGTGTCCTGGGTCAGGATCATATCCTTATACTGTTTATTAGGACTAATAAAAAGAATAAAAAACTGAAAAAAAGAAAAATGATGAATTGTGGACTAATCTGCAGCTAAATTTCTATAATCATGGTCAAACTGAATAATCATTGGACTCTTCTTCTGTTTATCACAGGTGTCCTGCCAAAATGTTCCCTTAACAGACTGTTAACTCATGATTTACAGCATCTGTTTAACTAATAACTGATACTAAAGGTACCTCGTCCATTTAAAGTCGACATAAACGTTACCTTTAACGTATTTAGCAAACAGTTCTGCCCCGGGGGAAGCTCCTGCAGATCGGCTCATTAGTCTCCTCCTCTCAGAGCATGTAGGACATCCATCACTGTCCATCATCTGGTGGTAGACCGAGCGTTTCCACATAGACGACTTTTATAGGTTTCGTTGCGCAGCAGTGAGCCGCGATGTGAACATTTTTAAGGGAGAAATTTGACGGGTGGGGGGAATCACTTTGAATCTGTGTTGATTTATTTATAACTCCATGATACTGCAGGACTATTCACACCCTGGAACAGGTAACTGCTCCATGCCTACTCCCAACGCTACGTCAAAACAACTATTCCCCCATTAGTCTTCCATGAATCATCCTGCCGTGCTATTGGTCAGTAGGAGATGAGCCTTTTGTCCTGATTGGTCAGCAGCAGTTCAACCAAGCTGAATGTCTGGTTTCTCAGTACCTGAGATGTCCAGTCTCCTCTCCCTCTGCTGAATCGTGAACTCTGACCTTAGCTGAGCGATTTAGATGTTCTGTCTGACCTCCGGGTGGAGTCATCTATGGGAGGTATTTTGGTCGGCCAGTCTGCATTCCCAGTTTTCTCCATTTGTGGTTAACAGACCTCATGCTTTAGAAGGATTATCTAACCCTTCAAGACTAAAAGCTTTAGAGGAAGTCAGCATTTTGGGCTCTGCCTTCTAGAAGAGATAAAAAAAACGTCCATCATCTGATCTTGAACTTCTTGAAATCCAGACAGAAGACCCACCTGTTTATAGCTGCCTTTGATTATTATCTGGAAAAAAAATCGAGGTAAAAAGCCGCTCTATTATATGTTGACCATCTCCCAGTGATCATCATGTGTAACTGGTTGATAATCTTTAAGATTCTATGTGAGGATTCTGACATTTGGATGAGTTTTATGATTTTCCTGCACTTTTGTTCTTGTATGTTTATAATTTAAAGCACGTCGACATAGATGCTGCTGAAATGTTCCATTTTTTGTATGTAACGGTCTACTTCGCGCTGTGAGGCAGGTTCTGTTAAGTAGTTTTTTCATTCTACAGGTGGGACATCAGCAGGCCCTTGTGTGGCAAAACTAAGGACAATAACAAATAACTAAGATAATCAACCTCCTTTTTTTTGTTCCAGCATGACATCAGCATCCCCATCTCTCCTGGTTATAAACAGGAGGACAACATTTGGGGAACTCAGCAGAGAGTATGCATGTAGAAATCCTTTGGCAAAGAACCAATAAAGCATAAAAACAGGCCATTTTTCCCCCCTTTGGACTGGGCAGCTGCTGGGCCATCACCCCGCTCAGCCAGCTCATACTTCACAGTCTGAATAAACATTCAAATCCAATTCAAATGTGCATGGCTTTCAGTTCTGCTCCCCAGCCAGCATCTCTGCTGATGGGTTTTGGGCAGCAGAAAAACTGAAGGAGCAATGCCCTCCAATGGAGGTCACAGGCTGAGGAGGAGTCAGAGAGCCGAGATGCGGGATCCCCCCCCTCCCTCCTAACGCAACAAGGCGGGACACACCCAGCCAGAGAGGGGAGGAGGTGGGAGGAATGAGAGAAGGAGGAAAAGGAGCACAGCCTCATCCACCCATCAGAGAGATGACGTCAGGACGTTTCTTTATGCGCTAAAGCTCCGTTAATTAGAATAAAACGATTTTTCCACCTTCACCGCAGCAGCAGCGTTGTGTTGGGAAACCACTCCAACAAGCCCGACAAGCTCACCCAGATGAGCGGCACGCATGGCAACCGAGAGAGAGCAGCACAAATACTCCCAGTTTGTTCTGAGCTGCAGAACAAGCAGCAACCAGTGTTCACTGGTGGGAAAGAAAAAAAAGGAGCTGGGCTTTAATCAGAGCCACCAGAGGCCATGTTTTCCTACTGATGCAGAGCCACTCTGTCGGTTACCAGGGGGAGAGAAAACAGACTCCTGCAAACTGTTTCCAGACACTCGGAAACATCCGCAGCGGCTCTGATTGCTGCTGCTCTGCAGCGCCATTCACAATGCGCCACTTTTAACCCCCCATCCCTGCTGACAGGGAGCCATTAGGATCAATCCTGGAGAGATGAGGTTACTGGTTTTACTGGGAAATGCTCTTTGGTTCGGCGGGTCGCTTGGACACAAAAAAACAATTTATCTATAAAAAAAAAAAGGGAAGTTCAGCAAATAATCACAGCCTAATGCGGGGGGATGTAAAGTGGCCACTTAGCGGAAGTTTTAATACAAGTAATAACAGCAGATCGACGGTTTCTGGTCACAGCTGATCCAGATTGAGGGTGAAGCCAGGCGGGCAGGATGGGAGGCTCGTTTTTTGGTTGGTTTCAGCAGCAGTTAGCCGCAGGGCTCCATGGAGGGCTGTCCGCACAGACTGCGGATGGAGGAGGCATGAACCGCGGCTCGAACAGAGCAAACCGACCGAAAGGTGGAGAAACGGGAGCCGGGAGGCTGCGAGAGACACAGCTGAGATCAAAAACATCCGGCAGATACATGTTACAGCGGTTCTCCGTGGATTAGCCCGTCCGCACACCTGTGGATAACCCACAGCGGCTAATAACCGGGAGGAGAGCCCAAAACAGCGGTTCATTGGCTCCGGTTCGGCGAAACAAACAGAACACATAAAAAAAAAAAAAACATTATATAGAATAAAACTAAGAAATAAAACATGGGAGAGTTCAGCTCCTTCAGCTACAAGTGGACTCCAACAGAACGAGCAGAATGCGCATAAAGTTTAAGAACGCAGGAATTAGACGGTACCTTCAACAGGAGAGTCTTGGTCCAAATCACGTCCTGCTACCGATTCCGAACCGCGTGGAAACGTCCTCAGAGCAGCTGGTCCATCTCCCAACAGGGCGCTAAGGTGGAGGAACCTCCGACTGACCGTGTGGCAGGGAGGGAGGTGGAGGGAGGCGGAGGAGCTCCGGGCTGCTCTGCGTCCAAATGGTTAAACCAGTTCCTTCAACAGAGGCTGCTTTCAGGGAGACCAGACTCTGGTCCTGGAGAGGAAAACCAACCGGATCCAGAAAAAGAGCGTTTAAGGAGGGGCGCTCAGAGTCACCTCCCCTTTCCTGGTGCTTCGGACCCGGTGAATTAAGACTGTTCGCGGCGGTGCTGGGTGGTTTTGGACTCGGTGGGCTCCGACACCGTCTACATCCAGAGAGAGACCCGGGAAAAGTGCCGGAGAAGAGACTCCCCCACGAGCTCAGGGAGGGGCGGGGCCAGGCCGGGATCACCCTGCCTGATTTTTAAGGTGGACCCGGGAATTAATTAGATTATCAAAGAGAAACCAGGGGACGGGTCTGCGGCACATCTGGGTCCGCAGCGGAGAACCAGGCTAGGGAGGCTGAAGGGAAGGCATACCGATCCAAAGCCGGGTAATGGAGCGGCTCCTCTGCTTATAGAGGAGGAACCAGAGCCTGAGCTTCACCTGCTCACCTTAACTTCGGTTAATGTAAAACTAACCTCTATGGAAGGTATAGGCCAGAGGACAGACTCATTTCTCACTTTCTGGGGAAAATCTTTAATGACGTTGGTCTGGTTGTGCATTTAAACATATTCTTTTTTTCCCTCCTATTTCCATCAAACCTTTTTATTACATTTAGCGATTAGGGTCCCTCTCAGTGTTTTTGTCCCACTCAGGAACCACCTCCACTGCAGTATGATTGCCTTTTTATTGCCCCCTAGATTTAATTATGTTGTACCTTCTTTATGCCCCACAGTACTTGGTGAAGGTATTTAAGGTAGCAACACCAATTCTTTACCATTTTTATTTCTATCCTTTATTAAATTATTGCTCTAGTTTATTCTGGAACCAAAATATACAACTGAAGGCCACTGAATTATTTTCCATTTAGGAATTTATTAATTAGCGTCAGACTTTCCCTTATATAGCAAAAAGATATTCCTTATTTATTAAAAATAAAAACAAAAACAATCTGATTTGATGTCTTTAGAAAAAGTTGTTTCATCTGTTATTAAATAAAGTATAATTCATTTTACTGTCAGAATGGAGATAAAAAAAAACGTCCAACAGATGAAGTGAATCACTAATTTACTAATTCTGTGGTAATCTTTTACACTCTATTACATATAAAAAATATCCAGCATCTTCATTCAAATAAAGCGTAACATTACGTTAAAAGTACAGTCAAAAGTATTCATGCCTAGATTTTAAAATCTAGTTTTAATTCAACAAAGATGCTTGTTACAGACAAGGGGGGGGGGGGGATTCTTCAAAAAAGGAATATGAAAGAAAATAATTTTTTTGTTTTTTATTTGCCTTTTAACCTGATAATAATTTTCAAATAACCCTTTTCTGTTATTGCTAAGCAGCTTTTTAAATGTTTCCTCTGGTATTTTAAGGACCCGTCTTTGGTCATAAGATTCAAGTCTTTAAAGATCAAAATGTTCTTTACCATTACCTTAATCTCCTTCCATGGATGAGTGCATCACATTCATTATTAGTCATTTGTTGAATTATTAAACAATAACTATCAATAAAAACAAAAATTAACACTAATTTAATTTAATTATATGATTTAATTTCGCTCAAAGACCAACTCCCTTTTTTGTCTTTTAGGAAACAGTGAAGGATTTACAGATTACAGAGCATCTAGTTTAGTGGATCCTAACATTTGACTTTTAAACTATTTTAATCAATGTGTTTTAGTTTGAACAGCAGAGAAACCACTGAAGTTTTGACCAAACAAATGCAGAGAGGAAAACCATGAGTCGGATCTAACTCATAGCGACAGGATGTCAGCTCTGACTTAATGAGATTAGATTAGCATCTCTTCTGTTTTCCCTTCTGATTTATTGTTTTAATATAAAATATAATCAAATATATTAATATGTCAAAGGGGGAATGCAAACCTGCAGCAAGACCCCTGTGAGACTCAACCAGCCCAATCTGATGTGTCTGTGAGGCCTCCGCTGAGTCCTGCTGTCCTTCAGTCCCTGCTCTCACTGACTGCTGGATCCTCCAGTAGAGTAGCCAGTACTCGATTTGAGGGGGGATGGCATCCCCCTTCTTGAAAAGAATCTTAAAAATCATCCCCCTTGTTAAATGACCATCGCCTTGTGGCATTTTATTACTGAATGTGTAAAAATTCTACTATAAATCAACAGTAACAGCAATAATATTTAACCTGACTCCGCCAGATGGATTTGCTCCGCATATCCATCTGGAAACCTTCCGTTGAAGTAATTTTGGGAAGGGGCGAAAATACTGGTTAGCTGATTGGCCTATGTTGGTGATAGACGGGCCAAATAAACCAATCAGATCAACGAAGCATATGACGTACTAACAGAGCGACGACGAAGAGGAGCCAATTGATAGATCAAACTCTTGCCTAAACCAGTCAGGAGAAGAGCAAAAACATCTTTTCCTCTGAGAAAAGCCTCCAGAGCAGTGTTTTGCTCTTCTTTCAGTGAAGAAATACTCTGTAATTCCGATAAAACTTGCTCGATAGCCACGCTAACTAGTTTCATCGGCTGAAGCCGCCATGTTCTTTAGACTGAACTGTCGCGCTTCTCGTTGCGTCACACCTCAACGCGCCTCAAAGCCAACGCTGATTGGACGTTCGTTTGGTGAACAGCTCCAAACTTTATTCAACTGAGAGTCTCCAGACTGATTAGCGAGTGAAACCTTGAAAGCTCGTGAGATCAGGATGGTCTCACGAGGCTAAATAATATTACCCTTCCAACATTTTGCGGGCTGTGGGCTTACGATTAGCCTTAGCAAAATAAATAAAATTAAAGAAGTGGCCAACCATATGAAGCTGATCCTAGTGGGATATTTGTCCTCTGCATTTTTCCTAGGGGCAGTGATAGTCATGCCAGTCCTGTAAGGTTCCTTGGTCAAGGTTAATGACCGGCGTACCTGACATGTAACAACCAGACCATGCATAATGCTTTAGGTTAATAGAATATATTAATTAGGCTATGTATGCTTGCAAAAAATAAATACACCATCCCCCTTCTTTTTTGTTTTACAACTGCATTACTGACAATAGCATCCATTAGAAATGGTCATTCCACTTGGCAGCCCACTTCCCTGCAACTCCCAGCAATATGCTCTCCAACTTCCAGCCACTGGAGTGACCTCCTCTTGCATATTTTCTTACTCTGACTCCACGCTTTCAGTGAATTACAGGAGATGACGCTTCTCTTTAGTTCTTTATGTCCACAAATCATGACAGAAAGATTATTTTAGTACAAAGATTGATGTTTAAAAAAGAATTGCAGGGGACCAGCCAAGGAAAGTGGGGATATTTTGATTGGCTGCTACTGTTACTGCCTGATAACACTTTTACCTCTGCTTCCTGTTTCTCCTAGCTTCTGCAGGTCAAATCATTTACACATACAGTACATCAATCTCCTACAGATGCATCATAGCAAAACCAAATCAGAACACAGACTTCTCAGCATCAGTTGATGTTGAATCCTAAACTTTGTGGTTTTTGTAGGAAAGAATTAAAAACAAAACCAGACGGAAACATGCTGCTCCTGGCAGTTTATTTGTGATTCTCTGCATAATATACTTTATCTGCAGCAACTGGGAATATTTCCTGATGTTAAATAATATTTATGTAAACCATTACAGGCTAAACTGGTCTATGCTATGTGAATTCAAGCGGTGTGATGTAATGTTTATTCAGGTATGTTTAAGGTTTTAATTTCTCTGTGTTTTTTATTTTTGCTGGACACATTTGTTTAATGTAAGATTATGAAAAGCTGAGATTACATCACTGTGTGTCAAAGATAGAGGTGGATATTTATGCTTTTTTCTTTTACATTTCATTTTGCAAACATAGAACACGGATAAAGAAATTAAAAGGATATTTCTTCCAACTGCCAACTGGCCACTCAATCAGTTCTGGCTCCCACGCTATGCTAATGATGTAGAGGCAGAGGGGTGGACGAAGCTGCCATTGAACAGCAGGTTACAGTGATTTATTTGCAAAAATAACAGGAGAGCTGCTGGAGCTGAACTGTTTCCCAAATCTCAGTCAGTTCAGAATGATACCTGCTATGCAGAGCGCGCTTAGATCTGCAGCAGTTAGGCGTAAGGGTGTCTGCTCAGACAATGAGGGGAAAATGTGTTTTTGTACCAATTCGTTCCTCCTGTTGAAGTTACCCCCATAAGGACAGTGTGAAGATCCTTAGGTAGTTGAGCTTTGTGGTTTTGTCTGTCTCTGTTTTCATCAGTTTGGTTTCAGTCACTAGTGTAAGAAGGTCTTTCATTCCCTTAGGATTAGTGCCTTTTTCTGTCATCTGCTCTCTGTGTATTTAAGTGCATTCAATTAGCTCTGTGTTTCTCTATTCCCATTGGTACAGTAGCAGCTATTCAAAATGGCCCTTCCCAGTCAAAACCCAGCAGAATCCCCTCCAACTTCCAGCCACTGGCCCTCTACTGGGCATGCATATTTTTTTACTCTGACTCCACCCTTTCACTGAATTACAGGCTCTGACCAGGAGATGAAGCTTCTCTTTAGATCTTAATGTCCACAAATTGTGACAGAAAGAATATTTCAGAACAAAGATTGATGTTTAAAAAGGAGTTTTAGGGAACCAGCCAAGGAAAGTGGGAACATTTTAAATGGCTATTACTGTAAATTATTCCTTGTGTTTTACTCACCTGTCTCTGTTTTAATTAGTTCTCTTCCTACAGTTTCCATCACCTGCATTATATGTCATTCTCCACTTTTCCCTCAGTATTTAAGTTCACTGTTAGACATTGCATTTGACTGGATCCTTTTATCAGTATCCATTTACCTTCCTGTTCATCTGTCTCTCCTGACATAAAACCCTTCATTCTCATAA